TACCCAATTCTGGAGACTTGGTCACCTATTAAGAAATGGATGTAGCTTAATAAGATTGTTCACTTGTTCCATTGAGCAGCCCAAAATAAACATCTGTGGAGGAGGATGCTTTGTGAAATGAGATAGGATGAGATATAAAACCTAGGTGAACATCAAGCATTCTTTCTTTGAGGAATAGAGGTTGTTCTCTGAATAAAGATAGATCCTGACTCATTATTCTTCCCAATTTTGGATGTGCTCTTGTATTTACAGCTAAATGATTTTCACCTTATCTGAGGTCACCCTCTCATCCAGGATTCCAGCCAACTTTCTCATTCAGCAGAACTCCAAAGTTCTTCTTACCCCCAAACTGACAAATCCTGTTTTTTCCCTTCTACTGACCTTCACGGGGCAGGTGATTCTCTCTAGACCCATCAGACTGCCAGCTGCTCCCCAGTACTGCTTTTAATTTTTCAAAGGAATTTACATTTCGATGGCATTTCATCATTAATTACATTTCCACACATTAATATAAGAGTTGTAAGTGCGTGAGACACATGTAATTTCCAAAAATTACCTTTTGTATGCTTGAGATACATAATACTTTCATCAGCAGAAAGGCAGGTTTAATAAATAAATTTAAAAGGCTGCAGGTGTTTGCTAACACATGCTTTTTATGCTTTTAAATATTAACTGAAAGCTGAATATTTGGCAAGCTCTCCTGATAAGCATGGCCTCTATGGCTTTGAAAAGTCTTACCTGATTAACATGCAGACCCCAGAGGGTAGCATTAAAAAAAAACCTTGAACTTCATGCTGCTCTTTCCACATTTCCTGTGGCTCATCCACAGAAAAGACATCTCTTCCTTGAGCCTTTTGCCCTGCATCCCATTCTGATTGGAAATAAACTGGAAGAACTGAAAAATACTTCTGTGCAATTTGTCTCCTGAGATGTAAGTCCAGTTAAACCCAACAGAGCTCCTAGATCAATAGGGTTTTTGACAAAACAAACATAGTTCATTGTAGTCTTTGAGAAGTATCACCATTATCAGTGCAAAGGTTGAAATTTGGGAGAACGTATAACAAACCTGTTTGGCCTATTCTCTGTTCCAGACTTATCTGAGCTTTAAGATCTTTCTCCTTTTGTCTAACATCAAAGCAGAGGAAATGGTTGACGGGAACTGAACGAAGGTTTTCTTGGTAGTTCTTCTACCCTTTGGACAGGCTGCCAAGGAACATCTGGTGAGCTTTCTAATATCCTTTTGCTGCAGGCAAGGATCATTTTATTTAGCAGTGCTTCATTTCATGTTTCAAAGGTGTCAACATCCAAGATTCCTTGTGCTTTAAAAGATGGGCAAATTTCTCTCACCCTTCACATTAAACAAACTGGTTCCCTCTACATTCAGAGATAAATCTGATTTCTTCTAAACTGGATTCTCTTTCCTCTTCCATGTCTATTTTAAAACAACTTGAGTTGTTATAGAGTTGTTTCAAAGTAGACATGGAAGAGGGAAGAAGCTTGAAGATTTAAGTGTGTTCTTTCTAATTTCCCATTCATTTCCAAGATCAATGTACCAGCTTTGAACTACAGTCCTTGTTATGCCTTGAACCATGGTACCAATGTAATGGCTTCATTTATTTACTTCATCTATTTGGCTACAGAAGTCATTTTCAAAGCCCTTCTCCACGTGCCAGGTTGTTCTTAAGCATGGACTATTTGTGAATTCTTTTTAGCAGTACGTCCTTGCTCATGGAATTTTCCCTGAAGAACTTACTTGAAATTGCTCTTTTTATCACTAAGTTATGATGTTTTTATTTTTCCAGGAATTTCAAATTTATCTTTGGCTGGCTTTATTTAAAAATAAAAATCTGTATTTCATATGCTTGGCTTTATATAACTGTCTCTGTACGATGGCTTCAAATTTTCATCATGGTTTGGATTTTATGAATTACAGTATTGTGTGTATAGCGTGTAGAGCACTTGTTTTACAGGCATTGTACAAGGCCTTGCAGAAGGAAACCGGCTCATCTTGCCAACTCAAATTGATGGAAATGCTACATAATGCTAACTATTTTCTGCAGTATTTTCCTGATACCCTACTCAGAATAGTCCCCTGAATTAAATGCAATAACCATGACTTCACTCTGTTTAATGTCCTGATAGTTTTATTCAGATAATTGCAAAAAACATTTAAATTTAAAACTGTTTTATGTTATTATCCACTAAGTCAACTTCCAAGAGGTGTACTGTAGTAACAAAAGTTAAACTCATATTTTACATTATGTATTCAAGGATAGCCAGTTATATTTTTATACATAAAGAAATACATCTATGGCATGGAATTGAAACTAAAATCTACATTGTTTAGTATAAAGATATAGCATTTTTTAAATGGAAATAATCCACAAGTGAGGCACTTTCTGAGAACATTAGTGAAAAACAAATGGCATTAACCAAAATAAAATCACATTTCCCCCTCATTAAAAGGGGGAAAACTTTATATATAGGTTACATTGCAGCTCCCAATATAAAGTTTCTCCACTAGATCTTTTTCTATTCTCAAAGCTAATGACAACTATTGAAATTAAGGATATTTGGGGCAAAATGCCATTTTAATGCTATTTAAGTGGCACTTAATCACTGCACTAAAATGCATATGGACATTTTAACCACACACTTGTAGTCATCACAGCAGAAGTGAAATTTGTGAATTGTAGTTTTATGTAGAATAAATTAATAGAAACATTACGCGTTACTCAAATGAGAGTTAAAATTTTCTTCTGAAAAGGCAGAATATGACCTACAGTAATTTAGAAGGAACAAAATATGTGAACCATCTCAACGTACATTTTCTGAAATAGCTACCGTGGATGAAGATGGTTAAGAATGGTTCCATCCTTGTGTTTTAAGGTTAGCTTTCTCCAAGTTCAACCTGTGTGTCCAGATAGTCTTTGTAGGATATTGTTGTTTTTACCTTATATTCCAGCTGCCAACCTTACAGAAATATTGATTCAGATGTTATATCTTTACAGGCTGGCCTTGTATGAAAATTCATCATTGGATTTAAAGAAGAAATACGACAAACCTTCTGTGATCCCCTCCAAGAAACATGCCAAGAAAATAATGTTCTGAGCTACTTTTTTTTAAAATGATAGAAGAGAGTCTGGGTATTCATAGCTATTATTTGGGGACATTCTTCAAGAAAGCGTTCAGGCTTCCTAGTCTCTTCCCAAACTCTCCTCAATCAACAATGATCGGGTTTTTGGGGAAATGAGAATAAGGTCAATTAAAGAATATATTAATCTCAGAGATTTATGTTCCAGAGAAAAACAATCTTAACTTTTTAAGGTTAGTCTATAACTATTTTTCTTGAAGCACATGTATGTTTGCATGAAAACATTAAAAAAAAGTATTAATACTTGATTATTTTGCAATTGTAAGCTTAATATTACCCTTCCAAAAATGACATTTACCATTGAATTAGAAAGTATGAAATTGCAAATGCTAAATAGGAGGAATTGATCTCCACTGTAGAGTCAAATGCCAGAAAATACCTTCTATAGATAATCTAGTTTGTGAATGGGTACATTAGACATAGACATAAGGCTTGTCTATTTCATTTCTCTAGAACCCCCCCAAGGCCTTCCAAGCAAGCCAGCTGGAGCTTGCAAGCAAACTGTATGACTCATAAAGTTACTGTTTTGCTCTCTCCCACCTTGTTGCAGTTTCTCTCTTTCAATATCCTAATTTAGCAGGAAGAGAGAGTTTTGTCACGACTGCTGAACTGTTTGAAACTAGAAATTCTTGCTGATCTGCTGCATATTACCTGCATATTTATGAGCAGATACTGGTATCATTTTACCTACCTGGTGGAAGATTATACTAAATTAATGCTATGACTCGTCACAATTTCTAAACCATGTCTGTCCAGCAGGTGGTGCCCAAGTAAAAGAGCTGTTTTCATGTAAAATAACCCCGGAAGAACTTTTCCAGGCCTAAAAATATCATTCAGCTATTTATCAAAACAGGCAACAGTATCTATTAAAAAGTGTCTGAACTGATGTTTTATAAAATACAGATTTTCATCATAATTTTCTGGACAAAGTAAGGTGAAAATAAAAAAAAAACATGAACAAGAATTCTTATGCATCCAACGTACAGATAAACATCAACTGAAATGTATGATTAAACACTATTAAATAAACCTCATTAAATAATAGGAATCACTCGATTGTTAAGTTAAAATCTAATGGTTATTCTAAGAAGGAACTTTGCTTCAGTCCTATATTAAATTCCAAACATCTCCAGTTTTTAAAAAAACAATATATATATTGGACCAATTTGTTACCTCGGATGATTTCAATGGGGGAAAAGAACCTAAAATCCTATAGTATTGTGTTCGTATTTAAATGCCTTTCCCAAGAACAGAATTTATTCAATAATAAAGGATAATACATGTTTACCAGCAAAATGTTTAAATGCACAATGAAATGAAATGAAGGTGAATATACACGTCTTAGGATAATGTCTTGTCCCAGTGACCGATCCAGATTGGATCCTGCAACACACTGAAATGCATGTATTCAGAAAAAGTATTAAAACATATAGAATTCCATGTGAAAAGCACTACAGGAACCTACGTATTAAGCTGATTAGGGCTCATCAGACATAGACTTGCTGTTTCTTAAAACATCTCAATATGTGTGTATGTATATATGCACAGAGGTCCAAAGCACTCTTGATCAGCCAGCAAGTTCTTTTCGTGGCTATTTGTTGCCATGTCCCACTTTAATAAAAAACAGGATGTATTAGCCATTGCTATTCACAATTCATGCTGTTCTCATGTCATTAATGAAATAAAAATTAGGGATTTCTCTCTCTCTCCCCCTTCTGTTTGGGGGGAAAAATGAACAGTCTGCCTAGGCAAGCAAGTTTAGCTGACTATTTGAAGCATGAAAGACATCCTATGCAAGCAGTTTTTAAAGATATAAAATGCAGGAAAGGCAACTTAAGTCACCTTAAATTATTTATTCTAGATAAAAGTACAAAACTAGAAAGAAGCTCTTAACTTCTATACTTATCAATATATTTCTCTTCTTTTCAATATGAAATAATACTTCAAGATGATCTATGTACACAATGTTGTCAGTTCAAAGCTGTTGTATAAAATATAAATGCCCCTTTAAAAAGGTATTTCACACACAATGTTATGTACAATTGTTCAGTTTTGATGTCTGGGCTCTGGGAAACGTAGATTGTACAGTGGAAGTGGAACTGTATGATGGAACGTGATCCTAAGAAAACAAAGTCAACATGTATATTTTTCTAAAAAAAGACAGATGTTAAAAATTGTGAAATTTTAATTTTAATCCAAAAACGTATTAAAGACATATTTTACTCCATTCTCCACACCCTTTAACCTTCTTGAATGAATGACTGCTCCACTGCTTTAAACTTTTATTAATAAAAATCCTCTATGCTTAATTAGGTTATTATGCCATATGATAAGATAACATTTAGGAATTACCAGAAATGGCATTTAGAACACACAGCCAAATGTTAAGTTAAATATATTCATTAATATGCTACGACTCAAAGACAAAATAAAATCCATTTTCATTCAACAAGAAATTAACTTTTTTTCCCTACCTGGACTACAGTTTGTCATATAGCATAAGTTTAACTTGTGGTAGGTCAAATAAAAATAAAATAATGGAAACATATAAAGAAATAACTGGCACCAAGTTGAAACAGAGTCATAAGTATATATTTTAAACAATTTCAAAGTGGTAGTTTTTTCTTCCCAAACATCTGTCATCAACAATTTTAGGAGGAAATCCTAAAAGAAAATCTGCTGGCTGTGAGAAAGGGAGGGGTAAAATCTTGCCATTACATTGAAATTAGAGTTATTTATATATAAAAATAAATGTTATGTTCTCATAAGAGCATTAGACAATTATATCTGTGCTTAACAAAACATTGGTCATTCAAGACTACAATAATTAATATTTAAAGGCTTTCAGATTACCAGAATGTACAGAGGAAAATTAATACAAAAATGTAGTTGAAGGGAAATAAGACTGAAAATATTGATTTCTCTATTTGAATAAAAATATTAAGTATTTAAAACTGAGAAATACTATCACGGAATGTGCCTGGAAAACATGGTCCATAACTGCTGAGCTGGAAAGGGGAAGAAAGATTTAACAATTTGTACCGTATATTTTGTTAAATATAAACATTTGTTATTTGTACATAAAACTGTTTCCCAAAACTATTTATAAGTAATTTAGTTGCACTGAAAATCAATTTAATTTTTTCATATCTGCCAAGACATTAACTTCCTTTAGTTTTCAATCAGCTTTCCCTAGTGCAGGTTTAGTTAAGTTTTCTGCCAAATGCATTATTTCAAAAGAGCAACCCCCCCCCCCAACCCATCACCTATAGCACAAAATGTACAGAGTGCTGAAGTATGGACTGCAGTTTATACTTCTTTCAAAGACCAATTGGAAGAAAAGGCTTTCAGATTGCATGAACTCCTTCACCACTTGTCCTATGCGCTTAAAAAGTAGATTAGGCATGGCTTGCATTGGTCAAATGCAACAGTTCTTGACACGTCTTCCACAGGAGGCCTTTCCTACAGGGTGGGTTTTCCTTTCTGCATGCCAAGAGCTTCCATGAATTAGATACTTCCCAGCAATAAAGACTTGTCAGCCCATTTTTGCAGTAGACTGCTTCATCCTGCAGCTTTATGTTTTCCTCCACAGCATCCACAGATTTCGCCACAGTGGTGGCACGCTCTCAGCGGGAGGTAGCAGCACATACATGGCGCAATGAACGACAAAGTGACGAGGGCGAGCCAGCGTAAGCAGAACTTGTCGTCACTCGTGTCGCAGGAGCAAGGGTCAGAGAAATCCCCCTCGGAGTCTGACATGCAGTGGTAGAGCATGCTCTCGGCACAAAGCATGCAGCTAACTTGGTATATGCATCTTCTAATCGGGTCTGGAGCATCTTGGCATTTGCCCCGGCTGTTCTCCTCATGGTTAAACCTCTCTTGACAGTATATGCAGCGAGAGCGCTCACCATCCTCTTTCCTTTTTTTGGATTTTTTTAATTTGATAGAAGAAGGCTGTGTTTTGAGTACCACAGAACTCTTACAATCTTTTAGGGAGTTCAGTTTAGGTTCATCTCCAGATGGGTAGAGATAGTCCGATTTTTTATGGTCTGCTTTAGGGCAGTGCAGCGAGGAATCTATTTCATCCCTATCCAAGTCATTTTTCCACATATCAGGATGCCTATAGTCTGCATAGCGACGTATTAGAATATCACGAGGGTTTATCCGAACAATTTCTTCTTCATCCTGAAAAGTGACGCTCCTGACTGGTTTCTGGGGTATCTACAAAAGAGGAGAGGACACAGAAGGGAAAAGAGAGGCCTTTAATATTATACATAACCATACTGATGACTGAGTGTGTTACTTCAAACAAGCAAAAGTATCCAGTCACAACACCTTATGTCTCAGGAGAATTTGTACAATTTATCGAATATATCTGCCATATTTAATGTTTATTCAACAGTCCAAATAACCAAGCGCTGCAGTGCTGATAAATCCTTATATTAAGTTCACATTATTTCTCACAGAAAACATTTTAAAATAAGGGACATGTCTAAATATTAAAAATTAACAAGAAGGGGATTATTCTGAAGCACATTTTTTAATGTTCATATGAATTCCATGAAGGCATCTAAAAATTAGATTGGGATCGCATCAAGCTGCGGATGATATGCAGTTCTAACATTATTTTAAACTGAAGGAAATGGTGGGAACCCCCCCCCCCCCCCGTGAATATCTGGAAATAGGAATGTAAGAAAGAAGGGTGAATAATCTGAAGCTTAATCAAGCCAGTTTCTCTGCAGATAATAATTTACATTTATACCTGATGCATTTGCATTTCCTTTAAAAGTCCAAATATGCAACTGGGAAGTATTCCTGGACTTGGCTCTTTTCACTGGAAGAGGAGGCATTATCAATGGCATTTATAGCTTGGACTCCTTGCCAAATGTAGTCTTATTTAATGAATTTAATTGCACTGGTGACCGAAGTTCTGGTTACATCCCAGCTGAATGCACTGTATAGGAGGCTCTCCTTTAAAACAGTGCACAAATTTCAACTCTGCATGTGTTTGAGTATATGTATTTCTGTTGTAATTATATAGACAACCGATTCATGTCTGGAGCCAATCTGTGATATTGGTATTGACAATCTGAAAGTAAGCTTATACTACAACACTCAAGATTCTACTTTCCACTCCATCTGTGAAAGTTATCAAGTTGACTGTTGAGCACAGAGCAACTGTTTCTGTGATAATCCTGGAATGACCTTTCATCCCCAAAATCCATATGGTTTCTCTCTTGCTTTTTAAGTACTGCTCTGCATTCCAATGATTTTATTATTATATTCAATAATTGTTTTATCTACTGCTGTTATTTTGAGGATATTAACTGCTTTTCTGTTATATTCTTTTAAACAGGAACGGGAAATCTGTTCAATAAAGAATAGTAAACAAAAAGTAGAGAAAAATGAAAATTCAGTAACTGTGTGTACACAGAACATTAATTTAAGAAAATTTATGTGGCTGCCCATATAAACTCTCAAGTAAGTCTGGGCAGCTTACAAAGATAAAAACCTATCATAAAAAACAATAAAAAGCAATGACCCCCCCATCCCGCTGGTGACAACAATCAAAAAATAAATGTACATGTCATTTAGGCATAGGCAAGCAGAATCTGTTAATAATAAAGGCAGAATCCAATTTTGCGTGAGTGGAAGCTGCATATCAGTATTTCCTTTTCCCCACCCTATAGGTCCGTGGTGGCAAACCTGTGGCACGCAGAGCCCTCTGTGGGCACGCAAGCCGTCGCCCCAGTCCTAGGCCTTCAGCTGGGTTTTATAAAACCTTTTCGCTTTAGGCCTCCACCGCTGTGTGCAAAAATAAAAAGGTTCAATCAATCAATCAATTTCAACTTCTCGTGGGAAAAAAAAAGATCTTGCCAAGTTGGAATTAATTGGTTGAACATTTTAGTCCCACCCAGTCTACCTTTACCACCGCAGCCACGCCCACCCAATTGGCCACACCCACCAAATGAGCCACGCCCACCCAGTACCCGACAATACATAAGTGGGTTTTGGGTTGCAGTTTGGGCACTCAGTCTCTAAAAGGTTCGCCATCACTGCTATATGTCTTGTACATGTTCAATATCTGACGGATAAAAACCGCCAGTAAAAATCTAATTCAGTGAAAGAAACCATCTAATTTTGCTCAAAGTCTACAATTTCGAAGCACACAATTCTCAAACACAGGAGGATTCAGAAAGGCTTTTTTCCCCCATTTGATTTCTTCTACATTTGTAGCACTACAATTTCGAACCTCCACTGCCAGATTAGGAAGGCTGAAAGAAAGAATTTGGGCTTAAGTGATTCATGTTGAGCTAAGCCTACAACGTTCCTTGTGAACGTGAGCTTTAAATCATATTGCAGAGGTAAGGTTTGGTGCAGGTGCAGAAGTAAAAGTAACCTTGCAGCTCAGGCCTGATTTATTTCAAAATGCTTTTAGAAGAAAAAAAAACCCCTTGATTACTTGAAGTACTTGCTTAATAAATACATTAACACTTGTGGTAGGAACTGTAGCCAGGACCGAAGAAGTTGTTCACTTTGCTGGCATCCAATGGAAATCCACAAAACCGAGACAGAAATAGCCTTCTAAAGGATTGGCTGGTGATGACAGAAACATCTTTCACTAAATAAGTTTGCTATAACGTTCTAGTTTATGAGCAAAGATTAAAAAGCAAATAGCCGTCTCCCATCCCTGCCAAAGGCAAAGACAAGATGCTCTATTATAGGGCAGAGCAACCTTATGTTGGAATATTTGAGATTCACGATGACTTACTTGGCTCAAACTAATGAAAACTGCAACTGGTCACTCTTGCCAAATGGTTTAAACCAGGGGTCTTCAAACTTGGCAACTTTGACTTGTGCACTTCAACTTCCAGAATTCCTCAGCCAGCCCTGAAGTCCACAAGTCTTAAAGTTGCCAAGTTTGAAGACCCCTGGTTTAAACTCTCTATATAATGAGCAAGGTAAATACAGAATTCTTTGGAATCTAATTCAAGTTCCATTCTCAGTTAAAGCAAAGCATGCAAATCAAAAGTTTTGTTACAGATAGTTCTGAATTTTAATTACAGAGTAGCTCAGTCGTTACTATGGAAAGTGTGCATGGTAACAAAAGGATCATTTGATCCATGGATGGAAATTGCCTTACAATGCTGTTCAGAATCATATAGCCAGCATAAGTTTGTATAAATACAATAGGCCCTTGTTCAAATATCTATGGAAATATGATCGTCACCCAAGAATATAGTTTGTTTAGATTTGAATACACTCAATCAGATAAAACAATGTGTGAGAACTTCCACCATGCTTCGGCATAAGCAGATGCAAGAGAAATGAAACATAGCACCACTATAGAAATATATCCTTATCTTTAAAGATTTATTTTCTCAAGTTTTTTTAGCACTGGAAAAGACTGCTTATCAGCTTAAAACCAAAAGAGGGAGCCAGCGTTGTCTGAGGACACTTCCATGGTCATGTGGCCAGCATAATTATATGCAAAGGCACACGAAATGCTGTTTCCCTCCCACCTAAGTGTACCTAACTATCTACTCACATGCATGCTTATGAACTTTTTATGTGGACAGGAGCTGGGGCAAGTAACGGGAGCTCACCCTGTCATTCAGGTCTTGAACTGGGCTGTCAGCTTTGCAGCTGACAAGCTCAACATCTTTAACCTCTGAGCCACTGCGTCTCCCACAGCTTGAGAGGGGGAAGGTGAGGGAAAAAACAGTATCTGTCATAGAAAGTGGGTAGAGGAATCTCCAATGCACCAATTAATTATGTAAACCAGAGAAGCGAGTTCAAAGCATCTGCTTCTGCTGTTAAACAAACAACAGTTACTCATTAGGGCCAAATCATTGCGAGAATTATGATTTGTTTAAAAGCAGAAACTTCCAGTCTCTTTCCTGACACTTCACATCATTGCAGGGAAACCTCTATTCTATTACGTCTGACCTGGAACAGTGATATTGCTAGACAAAATTCTGGTGGCATTTCAGAGGTATCTCTTGACACATTCAGAATACAAGTTGCTTTTCATGGATTACCTGGTTTGGCTGGTTGTGGAAGTACAATCTTCTGGTGTTCAAATCTTCAAAGACCGAGGGTCTTATACATAGGTTTTTGTGAGGATCATTGCTTGCTAGAGATTCATGTTGGAAAATCGGATCTTTCATTAGCAAACTTGATGTATTTTCTGGAATTGCCTGGAAAAGTTTATAGATTAAAATACATAGTTAGGGTTTTTTCCCTTCACTTCCCTTATATAAAATTAAATCCACCGCAACGTTGTTTAGAACTTCAGTTAGTAAGTTGCATATGATACTTAAAGTACCCATTTCATACATAATTAAAAATGCACCATACTTTATTAAAATAATGTACATATTATTTTAAATAAATGGAGGTAGCATTTATGCAGCATCAAAATAAAATTTTAATGAATACGCTGGAAGTCCTTTGACACTCAAAGCAGTGAAAGAGGAAGCAAAGAAGAAGACATGTTAATTTGAGGCTATCGCTCCTTAAAGGTACATGCTCAGTGGACAAAATCTAGTTTATCAGAGATGCAGGAAAGGAAGCAACCATTCAGATCTACAAATATCAAGGCCACACAATATGGGTATGTGACCATACAACTTTTCTTATATTTGTCACACAGAAAACTGCTCTACAACTGAATGAGTATTAATCATTTTTCCAAGCCCTGATTAGCATTATGACTGTTTTGTTTGACAATCAAGAATATCAATCAATATTTCCTCTTGTTCTTTTTTTTTTTT